ATTAAAAATATAATTTATCATTATTTATATATATTTACCTTAAACTACTGGTTAATAAACCATCTAATACTAATATATAATTCTTATGGTCTGGACGCTGCTGGCTCCAGACCATTTGTTGAGTTTCCAGTAAGGTACAAATTTTTTTTAGTAACCTTATCATCCCTTCTAAAATTATAATATGTATCCTAAAATTATATAAATATAAATTCCAAAATTATATAAATAATCATTTCTAAAATTATATAAATATCAATTAATATATTCTAAATAATATAATATCAATTAATATATGAAATAAATTATACCTACAATTTGTATCCATTTTTAAATTTTAGCGCAAAATTAAATAATTGTGTGGTGTTCGTTGCTGGATAGTCATAAACCGATTACTGACTAGTTTTTGCCTATTCACTGGAATCTTCACCTATTTAAACAATTTGCGGTAAACCCATTTAGCTTTTCCTTATTTTCATGAATAAATTATAATCTCAATTGATATGAACACATTCTCAATTATTGTTAGTAACTATCAAGGCTTACATTAGATGTTAAACTTAAAATTAGCCACCACTCACCCTTAAAGTAATTAAATTATTTTGGCAGTTCATGGGTATAGGCTTTTGTTTTGCCCATTTCTTTTTGTTTATTAGCCTATAGACGTTTAAGCAACAGTTCTCGGACTGTTGCGCGTACAAGTACGTGCGGCTTGCCCACAAACGTGTGAAGGGCTCCTCATTTTTTCTCCCCTTAATTAACTATCCAGTTTGATGGATTTTTGAGGAAAACCTAGCGTAGCTATGTTGTATCCACAACCAGAGGGCGAAAACGCTTTTATCACGTATCACGTAAAAAAGCATAGAAAAGATCTAACCAGTTTGCTTTTTTATTAACGTTTGCCGTAAAAAAATCCAAGCTGCACTCTACCATATTAGCTATTAAAACGGAGAGTTGCAAAGCTCAATTTGTGCGCACTATAAGTATCATTATATGTTAATCATACTATATAACTGATATAATGATTTATGATGTTTAATATATTTTAATCATACTATATAACTGGTATAATGATTTATTGATGTTTAATTTAAATTAATATGATTGCAATATTTTATAGATACCTCGGAAATCTTCCAATATCTGGAAACATTTTATTAAAGATGGAGCTAATAACAAGAAAGGATATATATCAATATGCAAATATTGTCAATTAACATATAATTTCCCAAATTCAACAAAGATGTCTCAGCATATCAAAAAATGTCAAGGGTATATTAACAGTTTACAATTTAATGAAGTTGATCGTGATAATAATAATTCTACTGAAGAGGATGTTGTAGTATGTTTACCAGATTCCAGTAATCCTAATAAAATTATATCCCAAAAAAATATAAATAAAACCATTCTAAATACTTTTAAAGAAAATACCAATAATTTTAATGCTGGCACATCTAAAATTAAAAATTTTTTCGACACTATAACCGAACAAAATCAAACGCAACTTGACAGTGCTTTGGCATTGGCTATTTTTATGTCAAATTGCCCTTTTAATTTAGTTGAAAATAAATATTTCATCAATTTTTTAAAATTAATGCGTCCCATCAATTTTTTAAAATTAATGCGTCCAGCCTATAAAATTCCTTCTAGACATACAATTAGTAAAACATTACTAGATTTTGAATACATTAAAGTGAAAAATATTATTAACAATAAATATAATAATTTAAAAGACTTTACTCTCATAAGCGATGGCTGGACAAATATTCGCGGAGAGTCCATTATTAATTTTATAATAATGACTCCAGAACCAATTTTTTTTAAATCCATTGACACAGGTTCCAGTGCTCACACTGGTGAATATATCGCATCTGAGTTGATCAAAATAATAGAAGAAATTGGTTGTCAAAAATTTATCTCACTAGTAACTGATAATGCAAAGAATATGAAAAAGGCCTGGAGTCTTGTTAAGGCAAAATATAATTATATTGAATGCTTTGGATGTGCCGCACATGGGTTGAATCTGCTTATTAAAGACTTATGCCATATACCTTTTATTGAAAAGATCATCAAAAAAACCAAGCAAATAATTAAATATATAAAATTTCATGGTATTTTATTAGCAACTTTTAAAGAAAGGCAAATATTGAAAGGATATAAATCTTCCTTAAAAATTCCAAGTCCGACAAGATGGGGAGGTTTTGTTATAATGTTGCAAAGTTTTGTGAAAAATAAGGAAGTTTTGCAAGAAATTGCAATTTCTAGTTTATTTACAAACAAACAAAGAAGGCTTATTATATTAGACAAAGAAGGATACTGGGATAAATTAGAGTCTGTACTGACCTTTTTGGAATTTATTTATAAGAAAATTATATTTGTAGAATCGGATTCAGCAGTATTATCTGACGTTCCAGAAATATTTTGGGACAAAAGATAAACTCAATTCATCAACTTTTATTTTTAATGAAAATGATTTGTAAAGTGTTAAGATGCATATTAAAAAACGAAAGAAATTTTGTTGCCGAGAATATCATTATGCAACAAATCTTCTGGATCCTCGATATTATGGTGTGTAATTAACAGACCGTGAATTAACAGCAGCTTTAAATATAATAAATATTATTTCAGGCCAAATTAATTGCGATATTGGAAAAATTATGGGTAATTTAGCAGAATATAGTTCAAAACAAGGTTTCTATAAAGGAGCTGGCATATGGGAGAGCTCAATCCATACCAAACCACTCATATGGTGGAAAGGGTTGTGTACAAATCAACCCCTTTGTCAAGTGGTAGTAAGATGTCTTTCGATACCACCCTCAAGTGCCTCGTCAGAAAGAGTCTGGTCAGCATTTGGAAAAATTCATTCAAAAACGAGAAATAGAATAAAGAATGAAAGAGTCGAAAAATTAATATCAATAAGGCATAACATACATTTAAAGGATCATACAAATACATAAAGTTCGGGATATCATCAAAAGAGTTCAGATTCCGATTTATCAATATCAAGTGATAATGATGATATTTCAATTTCATCCCATGAAGATATTGATGCTATTTCATTAGCATCCCAAGAATTTTAAATGTAATTTTTGATACATGCTTTTTGTAATTAATAAAGTTATTCAAAAAATGATGTTTATAGTGTATTTATTTTTGTCTTTATTGTTTAATTCAGGGTTGTGCATTTGACCGGTCAAATACGTTTCGGTCAATTGACCGATATTTGACCGGCCAAATATGGTCAAATACGGTCAAATGTGGTCAAATTCAAATATATTTTTTTAAAGTTAATATTAACTTTATTTTGAATATAATAGTAAAATGAATCTATAATATTAATTTTTTAAATTCATTCAATAACTAACGTGTAGCTATCTGTATCAGAGTCTTGTTCTGATTCATATTCAATATTATCATTTTCTTTAATATTTTTTAAACAATTTTCCTGATATCTTAGATCTTAAATCGATTTCTATTTTCATAAGAATATTAACCCAAATCGACCTATTTCTTTCTAAAGAAGAAGTAGAACTAGGAATTGTTAGTCTCTTAATGGGCAGGGTAGACAAAGTTTAATCTATTAACTTGAGGTCGGAATTGATTGTTTCTGGAAATTACTACTTTCCACATATTTTGCTATATTAAACATGCTGTTTTTGCTTCTGAAATTAATTATATCACTTAAAATATTTTGGTCATCACTACCTTGTAAAATAGCTAATTCTTGAATTATATCACATACTTCATTAATTACACTACTAGTGAGTTCTCCTCTTGATATTGTGGACCCGAAAAATAAGCAAACATTGTGATCACATGTATTTACATCTTTTTTCCCTTTTTTAAACATATTTTTAATTTATTTTTCCTTTAAATTTTTTAGAGTATTTGACCGTATTTGACAGGTCAAATACTCCTTCGGTCAATTGACCGGTCAATTGACTGAATTTGACTGGTCAATTGACCGACTTGCCAACCCTGGTTTAATTATATTATTTTCCCTTAGTTCCCCAAATTTAATAAAGTTATTCCATAAAAAAAATTGAAAGGTTTAAAGTATATTTTGTGGTTATTTCCCCTAATTTTCCCGGTAAAATTTCTCCAATTTTCCCGGTAAAATTTCCCCTGAACCAATTTTCCCGGGAATTTTACATCTATAAATCTCATTTTAAGTTCGATGTGCCAGCAATCAATGGATAAATATTGCTTCAAAGTTATGGTCCATCACCTTTACTAAAGTAAGGAAATATAAGTCATAACATAAAAAAATAAAATAAAAATAATATACCCTACAAATAAAAAAAAAATATATTGTTAATTAATGGTAAAAAAAACCAGAAAAATTTTTACTTTTTTAAACTAATAAAAACTATATTAAAAATATTAAATAATTTTCTAAATAAAAAATACATTAAATAAATAAAGGAGAGGCAATGGAAAAAACGAAAAGAAAAGAATTTGATGTCTGACCCAGAGTTCTATTTCTATTTTTTTTTTTGAATTCCACCCATCTGGGAAATACATTTTTTAATGCGAAAAGAAAAGAATATGTTTCTGACCAAGAATTTTACTTCTTTTTATTTTTTAAACCCCATCTGGGAAATATATTTCGAATATTTAGTAAGTGGTCGGTTTTGAGCTTGGCATTCGGTCAAATCATAATATTTTCAAAATATTTTTTAGGATAATGTTTAACACTTAAATATGCACGTATAAACCAATAATGAAGAGATTTTGATCAATAACGCCAGCAATATGTTCCTTACAAACTTTCTACTATTTTTCGATTCTAAACCTACTCATTAATTAAATGTGAAATTAGGTTTTTCACATGTATTTACACCCAAAAAAAGCGCTATCCAATATTTATTCTGGTTTCCTAAGAATATATTTTCATATTTATGCATTTAACGCCCTCTTATGGATATAAATTTGTTAAATTTTGTAATTGAAAAATAAAATTTAAGTTGTAATTTTTGTGATACTCTTTTATTTTCCAAAATTCAAACTTTTATTTTCTTTTTAAAACCAATAAAAAAAAATCAATAATATATTTTATACATTAAAAAAATCAATAATATATTTTATACATTAAAAAAATCAATAATATTTTAATAATAATAAAAAAATAAACATATGCCTAGAACACCTCCCTTATTTTTAAGAGGCATTCTCAGGACACGAATTCAAAATTTTTTTAAAAAAAAACTATTATTCTTTGTAATATGTCAATTTTCATATTGTTGTTGACACCATTAATTGATCGGTCGTATTGTTCATCATTTTTTCATCGTCGAGTTATCGGTCTTTAGCAATTTCGCTAGTACATCATAGCATAATGGATCATTTGCTTTGCATCATCTAAAGTTATCGTATTATCGATCACTAAGTTGGTAGTTAAATGATTGGCTGCATCCGAACTTGAAAGTTGATTATCGCGTCATTGTGGATAGTTTGATAGTTGGTCTTATTATCGCTTATTCTGAATCATTGGTGTAATATTCTCGAAATCATTGTAAATAGAATTTTCCTCAGTCATAATCAACGATTATATTTTTCCTTGAAACAAAATAATCTATCCTTCAATTTTCATTTATTTTTATTATTAATTTAAAATAATTAATATATTTTACCATTTCAATTTTTCACAAACATACCTTTTTAATCGACTCACGAACTTCTTCTTTTTTTTTAAAAATGTACTTTACCATTTTTCAATTTTACTAACAAACTCCCTTATTAACTTTTCTTTTTATTCCAACTTATATTTAATTATTATTTTCACAATAAACAATTAATTTGATAAACAAATAACATTTTTTAATCCACTCACCACCCTCATTATTTATTTCAAAACATATATTTTCCAAACTTCATTAAATCAACCTCTTGCTGCATAAATTTCATTTTTTCAATAATAATCCATAAGTTGTTTAATTTATTTTTTTCTTTATTGATTCTTCACCAAATAAATTGATTTCTTATCTTAACATTCTATCAATTTAAAAAGTTAACACAATCTACATTACTATAAAATAATTTCCCTTTTCAACTTTTCCTTTTATCTCTCAACTGTTTTTTTTAACACAAGAAAAAAAAACTATTAACCACGATATGCTTCACTTCACTTAATAACAAATATTTAATAAAACCAAAAAAATGACTTGCAATATACATTTTTGTTAAACCAAACGAATTATCAACATATTCAGTTATATTATCTCATATACTAAGACAATTCTTACTTTTACCTTTACATACTTCTAACTATTCAATTATATATATACATATATACCAAACTATATCTCAGTTTTTTTTATGATCCTTAAACAAATATTTTAATAATCATAACTCGAACCGAACAAATATTTTAATAATCACAATTCGAAATGACCCGAACAAATATTTTAATAATCATAACTCGAAATGACCCAAACAAATATTTTAATAATCGAAATCGACTCAGATATTCCTGTCCCAATTAATTTAATAATTAAAATGGTTTAAAATATTTAAATTAAATATAACCTTTTATTCTATTCTATATTTCTAAATTCTATATATATATTTTTTATTCTATTCCACTTATTTCCCCCTTTTTTTTAATTGATCACCATGTCTCATTTCTACACTTTTATTTTCCATTACTACTGAACATAATTTATTCCCCAAATTCTCTTTCACCACTCCTTTTTCCCATTTTTTCCCTTTTCCATACATTCTAACCCAAACCAATTGATTCACTATATACTTCACCTGTTTTTCCTTCTCCTGTACCTCCACAATTTCTCCAGGTTTCAACATATCCAAAAACATATTTATTTTTCGACCTAACAATTTTTCCGCAGGCGATTTACCATCTTTGCCTTTAGCATTATTATAATACAACTGCAATACCCATATTTCACTTCGGTTATCTTTAGTTTTCATTAACCAACTTTTAACAATCGCCACCATCCTTTCCGCCTGTCCATTCGAACTAGGATGGTACGGTGGTGTAACTATATGATTTACATTTAAATTGATACAAAAATTTTTAAATCCCATACTAACAAATGCTGGACCTCCATCCGATACCATAACTTTCGGTATTCCAAATCTCGAAAATATTTTTTTACAAAATTTTATTACAATTCCCGTGGTTAATCCATGTACCTCCACGAATTCTATCCACTTCGAAAACGAATCAACCATTAAAACAAATTTTTTCCCTTCCCACTCGAAAAAGTCCAAATGAATTCTTTCCCAAGGTTCTTTAGTTCTCGGCCAACTACTATTTTTATCTCTAGGGGGCATATTGGCACAGGCATTACAAACCTCACAATTTTCCCCTAATTTATCAATTTCTTCATTCATCCCGGGCCACCATATGTATTCCCGTCCCCATTGTTTCATTTTCGTAATTCCTTGATGACCCGCATGTAAAACATCTAAAAATTTTCCTCTTAAATTACGAGGAATAACCGCTCTATTTCCTCTCATAATACATTTATCTACTATAGTTAATTCCGCTTCCACATTTTTAAATTTCTTTCCCTGATCACTCCATGGTTTTTTCCCAGTAATCCACAATTTTACCAAATTCAATTCTTTATCCTTCATAGTATATCTCTGAATATCCTCCCATTTGGTGGGACTACCCTTTAACACTTTAGTTAATATCCTGATAAGAGCTTCCTCTCCATTTTCTTCATCAATTTTCCCCTCTTGTTTCTCATCAATGATTTCTAATCTAGACATAATGTCCGGCAAATGATTCTCTTTTCCCTGCCTATACTTCAACTCCAAATCAAAACTTCCTACCAGCAGTAACCACCTTTGCAACCGAGGCGACATCATTAACTCCTTATTATCTTTTTTGAAAAGATGTATTAAGGGTTTATGATCTGTGTACACTACAAATTTCCTCCCTATCAAATATTCCCTGCATTTTGTCAATCCAAAAATAACTGCCAAAGCCTCTTGTTCTATCACCGAATATCTTGTTTCTACGTCTCTGAACACCCTCGAAAAAAATATTACCGGTCTCTCTATACCCTCTATCAAATGCAATAAAGCTCCTCCAACACCTTTATTCGATGCATCTACCGCCAAAATAACCTCCAATTCACTGTTAAAACACACTAAAATAGGCTCCTTGCTAATTTGTAATTTTAACCATTCAAACGATAATTCTTGTTCATCTTTCCACTCAAAAGATACATTTTTCCGTAATAACTCATATAAGGGAGCTGCTACCCTTGCAAAATCTTCAATAAAACTATGGTAATAATTTACCATTCCCATAAATGATTGAATCTCTGCCTTATTCATCGGCTTTCTATTTGCAATACTTATCAAATTTTTATCCAATGGTTTTACCTCTATTCCATTTATCTTATGTCCCAAATATACCACTTCGGTAACTCCCATAACACTTTTTTCACTACTCGCACGCAATCCTTTAATTTTTATTCGTTCAAAAACCTCTTCCAACCTTCTATTATGTTGTTCTACCGTTATTCCCGTAATTAATACATCATCCATATAATAAAAAACACCTTCTAACCCTTGGAAAACCGCGGCCATTGTCCTTTGAAAAATTGGTGCCGAAACACTTAATCCAAATGGCAATCTACAAAACGTAAACAATCCTTTAAACGTCGTTATGGTCAACAATTTCCTCGTAGATTCTTTCATAGGTAATTGCAAATACGCACATGAAAAATCTATTTTTGAAAAATACTTCGCCCCCTTTAAATTCGCTAAAATCTCTTCAATTCTCGGTAACGGATACTTTACTTCCACAACCCATGGATTTAAAGTTACTCTAAAATCCGCACAAATCCTTAACTTGCCATTAGCTTTCCTCACCGGAACTAATGGAGTCGCTCATTCGCTATATCCAATGGGACAAATTATTCCATCTCTTAACCAATTATCCAATTCTTTTTCCATTTCTGCTCTCCACTCAAAAGGTACCCTCCTAACAGCACAATATTGTGGAATATATCCTTCTTTCAAACGTATATCTACTTCATAATCTACTAAACGTCCCAATTTTTCATCAAAAATTTCTTTATATTTTTCTTTTAAATTAATCATGACCTTCTTTAACAACACTAAATCCTCGTTTTTTTCATTTTCTATTTTTTTTCTCACCAATTTCACCGGAAAATTTTGTGCTACAAGCAATTTTTCCCTTTCCCAATTCAATTCTTTGTAAATTTCATCACCATTCATATAACTATCCTCCAATCCCATTTTTCTTGGAATCAACTTTTTGTCTACCTCAAAACTAAAATTTTCATCACTTGTTTTCAAAATATTATCCACTTCTACATCCACAAAAATATCATCAACATTCAGATCAATATTTTCCTCAGAATCATATATTACAACTTGTTTATTATTCATACACTCAGGCTCCTCCTGAATCATTTTTTTATTTATAATTATTTCATTTCTCTGAATTTCCTCAAAATTACTTCTCAAATTTTTAATTTCATCAATTTTTAATATTTCAATTTCCGAAATTCCATTTATTTCATTATCACAAATTTCCTGATTATCATTTTCCATATTTTCCACTTTAACATTTTCTAAAATTTCAATTCCCACTATTTCATTTTCTAAACATTCATTTTCCCGATTTTTCATATTCACCTCCTTTACAGATGTTTTCAATACTTCAATATTTTTATCATTCTTTTTCCCTTGAAATATTCAAAAATTTACTTTCTAATCCAAATTTCGATATCCAATTCCATCCCAAAATCGCACCCACCTCTTCTTTTATTATCCACAAATCCAAGAACTGCACTTCCCCATTCATTAACACCGGCAAATTCACTTTTCCCAAAACCGAAATAACAGTTCCATTTAACTGCTTAATTATCATTTTATCATTTATTAATCGCTCATTCGGCCATAAATTCGAAAATTCCCTATACCCCATTACCGATATAGTTGCTCCCGTATCTAACAACATTATAATTTCCTTATTTCCCACATTAATTTTCACGCGCGGACATTCATCATAATTAACATCTTTTTTCATAGAAACTGGCATAACACAAATTTGTATATTCGCCCTGGGCCACTCATTCCCCTTATTTTTCATCACTAATTCATTACTATTTTTCTTTTCTTCAATTCCCAAATTATTTTCAATATTTAGTACATTCCCTAATAATAAAATTTTTCCCTTGTCTACTGGGTTTTCCGATGTAATAACCCCACATATTGATTCCTGTCCACCATATAGTCATGTGACCGGACAATCTCTCGCATAATGTCCAATGTTACGACACTTGAAACATGTTACATCTTCGACTTTCCTTTTTTCATAGATATTTTTTTCCCCTTTTTTTATATATTCTACCGCCGGAAATGCTTTAGAATCTTCTTGTTGATTCTTAAAACACTTATCATGACCATGACCAAAATTTCCACAATTTCCACAAGCTTTTTGAATTTCATTCACCAATTTATACGTAGGAACATAACATTCCTCAGTTTTATGCCCTTTATTTCCACACCTTTTACAAATTATAGTTAACACATTTGGATTTCTCCTTTCATTACATCCTCTACTTATATGTCCAAACTTCCCACAATTATAACACTTTTTATTTTCCCTTTCATCATTCCCATACACTCCTTTTCCTTCACTTTTCTTTTCCAATTCTTCTATTTTAATTTTCATTTCTGTCATTTCTGTTCTCAACATCTCTTTTTCCCTTTCAATCAACTCCATTTTTTCCCTTTTCCTCCTTTCTTCCATTTCTTTTTTCTCTATCTCTTTCCTTTCATTTTCCCATTATTCCCTCATTTCTTTTCTTATTTCTTCAATATTAATCTCCTTTTTTTTATGTTCCATTTTTCCAATTTCATTTTCCTTTTTTTTTTCATTTTCTCCAATTTTTCTATTTTCTCTTTTTTCAGACTCTCTAACGAAATCTGTTTTATTAATATCAATTTCACATACCTTTTTTTCAGAATCTCTGACGATATCTGTTTTTAATATTTCCTTTTTTTCATTTTCATTTTTCACCATATATATTTCATTAAATAAATTTTCAATATTCCTCTTAAATTCTTCAATTTTTTTATTTTTCTCCCTTTCCACTTGCTCTAACATTCTTACTCGATTTATATCTTTATTTCCATTTCTTTTCTTATACCAAAAATATATTATAACCCATAATATAAAAACCACTAATATTCCAAAATACATTTTTAACGGCTCAACATTTTTGACCTCAAAATAATTGTTGGTCTTAATATTTTTGCGATTTAGCATTTCCTTAAAATTATTTTTAAGTTAAACTCTTAATTTTCAAATTTCAAATTCTTTAATTCTATAATAAACTTATCAATAACTTTATCAAAAATTTTTTAACTGACTTAAATGATAAAATATACAATATCGAAATTATTACGAAAATCCCTAATACACAATAATACATAAAATTTCAACAAAAATATAAACTTTTACCTTATTTTTACGAATTTCCTTTTTCCTTTTTATAAATCTTTGGCCTGTTTCGTAATAGTAGTCATTGTTGTTCCGAATTAATTTTTTTTTATACAGGTATCTTTTAAATTAGAGGCACCACTTTTGTGATACTCTTTTATTTTCCAAAATTCAAACTTTTATTTTCTTTTTAAAACCAATAAAAAAAAATCAATAATATATTTTATACATTAAAAAAATCAATAATATATTTTATACATTAAAAAAATCAATAATATTTTAATAATAATAAAAAAATAAACATATGCCTAGAACAGTAATAAGCTAGTAAATATATTTTTTTTCCAAAAATATTAAGCAAAAATAGAATTTTAAATTATTTGATATTTAATATCAATTTTTTAAAAGATATTATATAATCAAATTATGATTAACTATGATTAATTGCTTTTTAGCAAGGCATTTTAGCAACGCATTTAGTCATAACGTTATTAAATGCCTGAATGTAGACAAAAGAAACAACGGGGGATTGTTAAAATGAACTGCGAATACAATAATAATAGATTCATAATAAAAGTTTTAATTAATTTTTACAGCAATATATTTACCTTATTTTTCGAATAAATTTACTTTATCCCTCTTAGATGTCTACCCTCCTTTAAAACAATTGAGGCAAAATGAGTATAACCCCCCCCCCCCCCCTAAAATTATCACTAATGAATTAACATATCAACTATAAACAAAAATTTTAGAGAAAAATCAGTAAAAATTAATAATTTCTAAAATAACCTCTATAATTTAAAACAAAAAATATAGTAATACACTAAAATTATTTATATAAAATCTAACAAGACTTGCAATAATTGTACCTAAAGACCTTCAATAAAATTAGTTGTGAAACCCACATAATAATACCCCCCCCCCCCTAACAAAATCCTGTCTACGCTTATGGAGTATTAATATATTTGCAATATAAAATATAATTTCACATTATGTATAGAATAATTATGGAAAATGTATTTACATTGTTATCGACGAAATTATTGATCTGAAAGTAAATGATAGCAAATAGAATAAATAAACATTAAAAAGTGATTCTGTTCTCATATATCTTATCTCATGTTGCACGTTGGTTAATGGTTACAGACTTGCTAAAAATGACCTGTGTATATGAAAGCCCATCCTTCATATAATAATGCTCATTTTTTTTCAAGGATAACAACTTGTAACACAGATTTAAAAAATAAAAGGAGATGGAACTATTTATTTATAGAATCATGTTCTATCCAAATTAGATAATTTTAAAATTGCCGCTATCTTTTAAAAAGTATGCAAAAATGCACAATATAAGATAAAATAATTTTAAAATCACCTGCAACAAAGAATTAAATAAGTCATGAATATAATTGAATTAAGTAGCCTTGCTTATAACAAATTACCGTATTCAGATTTTGCATCATTAAGTATAAACACAAAATAAACTGATGTTTATGGTTTCAAATTATACTGCTCATCACTTTAAATTCTACAAATCTAGTTAATTTTGAGCCGAATATTTGAAAATGTGATGATCATTGGTGATGATATTATATAGAAGATTGGTGTTTAGCTTCGCGAGAAGTATGCCTTTTGAAAAATTAATATGATAAAAAAGATTATCTTTAGAATCATATATCTCAAATTATGTATCGAAATTTTTATATTACAAAGAAGCTTTAGTTTACCCATCATTTAATACCCTAGATTCAAATTATAAAGGTAACTTTTTGCCAAGATATTTCTCATCAACATCAACTATACATAATAAAACTGATAATCAACAAAAAAATGAATTAATACCTAAACAAAAGACTGAACCTGATGAAAATGACAAAAGTCTTTCAGCATGGCAACGTTTCAAAATCATGATGAAAAAATACTGGTATGTCTTGATACCAGTACATGCTGTAACGACTGCCTTTTGGTTATGTTCATTTTGGTATGCATCTAAATGGTCAATTATTTTAGATCATTATATATATAACTTGTTTTTAATAGTGGACTTGATATTGTTCCTTTATTAGAAAAGTTGTCTATTCCAGAAAAATATATTGACCCTATAAAAAAAAGTGGTGCAAGTAATTTTGCTGTAGCCTATGCTTTATATAAAATAATTACCCCTATAAGATATGGTGTAACTCTTGGAGGTAAAATATTTTTAATATCTAATTTTAATAATTTATTATAGTAACAACATTTTCAATAAATTATTTGAGAAAACTTGGTTACATAAAACATGTTCCATCTAGCCAACAAATTAAAAAGATGGTGAGAAGTTTAAGAGAAGAAAGAATTAAAAAAAGAGCAAAAAGAGAAAATAAAAAATTATAGTAGTTAAATTTTAAATGTTGATTTATAATTTGGACAATAAAATTTAGTATTCAGAAGATTTGAATGTTTATATATTTCAGCATCAATTCCTATATTTAAATTATAAATAATACAAATGGGTTTACTTCTTCAGCAATTTATAATTTTTTAATTAATCATGAGGAAAATATGCTAATTTTAATTATTCCAATTCAGATTTTGTATTATATTGATAATTTAATACAAGTTTTAGAAAAATTCATTTAGCTTTAAAAAATATTAAATGCAAAATAAAATAAATAAATTACATATCTTTTGAAAACTTAGAAATGGAATAATTTTTTTTAATGATATTTCAATAACCTTGATAAACCATAAAATTAATTGCTAATAACTATGGATATAACATAGAGGAAATTTCTCCAATTTATATTTTATGTTTTTTTGATTAAATAATCAAGATTTCTATCATATTTTAGAAAAATATTTTTTTTGGTCCATATATCATAATTATGTTTTATCATAATTATGTTTTGTTTTTGTATGTAAGTTCATTTTTATATAATAAAAGGAATTTTTTTTATTGACTGAAATATATATTATAAGATTAATTGAAATAAGGACAAGTAGTAAGATTAAAGGTTAAAGAGATATAGGATAGGGTAGGCCAACTTCCTCTTCAGATTTTAAAACTACTAATAATTAAATTTCTGAAAAAATGATTTAATGAAATATATTGATAATTTTACAACAGCCATTTTTATGTTTGTAGTTGGAAGAAATTATTTAATCCAAATTACTCAGTAATAATTTGCTAAACAATGAATATGAAAGGATTATAAATATTATGGATGTACCGATATTTTATATCAGATCGGGCCGATATTTCACCCATTTTAAAATATCGTTTATTGGCAAATATAAAATTTTCCGATCATATACAAAATGGCGTTTGTGATTTTTCAATAAAAATATTTTATATACTTTTAGAATTGCAATTGAATTGAATATAAACTATAACTGATCATTATAATATATTTAGATGACATGTTATGGTATAGTTAAATTATAGATGTTATACTAATAAAAAGTATTTTCAAAATTAAAATCATTGGTATTTTTACAGAATACAAAATTAGATAGATATCGGATCGTTAATCGGCTGATGTCAATTTAATATCGAATCTGCCTCCAAAAAGTGGTATCGGTACCAGTGGCCCCTTCACTTTCTGAGCGAATGAAGCAGATTACCCCCTGAAAAGTACTCACCCCCCTCGAAAAAATGATAATTATTTTATGACACCCATAAATTTTCAAAGATAATTTTTTTGCATCAATTTTTAATATATATAAATAAAATGTAAAAAATATATACTTTATAAATATTATTTTTAAATTAGTAATTTAGATAAATTAGGGAAAGAGAAAGCAAGAGAATTTATAATTTCATCAATATTTAATTGTTTAAATAAATTTTTTTCCATTGATAATATGGTTAAATTATTGAGAAATGAATCTTTCATGGTACTACGAAGTCTTGTTTTAATTAATTTAATTTTACTCATGACTCTTTCTGCAGTACATGAGGTTGTAGGAATGGTTAATAAATATTTATATAAAATTCTTAAATTAGGGAAAACAGAAAAATATAAAATTAGACGACAATGTAAAATAAATGAATAGTTTTTCCAATCTGAATCGTAAGTCCCTGATTTATCATCATCATCAGAAGAAGCTAAATAATGTATTGGTAAAAATATTTTAATTAAATAAATTTACAATTATCAGAATCTGACAAATCTTTAGATTCTTGAACCTCTAGGTTATGAGTAATAATTACATTCCCTATTTTGGCCATCTTATAAATATTTCTAAACTTCAACATTACTTCGAAAATTTGACTTGAATTTAAATTGTCAAATTCACAGATATCCTCGATATCTTCTTTAATAATTGATTTTTCTGCCACATTATTTGGCGTAAAAAATGATGTTTGATGTAAAAATTTCATCGAATCATCATTAAATCTTTCGTTAAACTGCATAATAATTAAATAGAGTGCAGCATAAAACACACCTATTTTAAAGCTAAAAAAAATTTCTATATTTAATGATGAAAGTATATATACCTCCTCTCCTTTTTGGATTGTAATGTTTGAAGTTTAGAACTTTTAAAATCAAAAGGTAGATTTCTCTTCTTCATAAAATCTTGTGCCTTTGAAAAATCATCCAAAAATTTAGTGTTATTATCTATTAGATTAAAAAATAATTAATACAATAATTTATATTATACTTCTCAAATTAATCAAGCAATCTTTTGCCAATTGAATTTGATTTATTGCAAACCCTATATCCTTCGAAATGGTTTGCAATTTTGTACAAGCCAAACTTGTTATCAACAATATTTTATCCAAAACACTAAGTGATAAGATAAAATCAAATTTTTCTATTCTAAAGACTATAGCACTATCCATAGTGGAAGTGGCAGGATCTTCAGAATCCTTTAAATTTGTTAAAGCTGCCCTCAAGGCATCATAAAGTAGAAAAAAATTTACAATAGCTTTATATGACGATAGCCAGTTTCTAAATAAAAAAACGGTTAAATATAAATAAATAAGGTACTATTACCGAGTGGTATTCTTGATGCGTAGAAATCGTTGCGATTTTTTCAGATCATTATACTGAAATTTTTTGAGTACCTCATATCTTTTTACACCATTAAAATAGATATAAATCTTATCTAGTATTCCTAGAACATTTGAAGTTCTTTAATTGATTGGCATAATTGAACAATGATTAAATTTAATCAATGACAATAACACCAAATAAAAGCTGCCTTTGGCGCCTCTGCTCTAATCAAGGCCTGCACACCATTGATTCTTCCACTCATGTTTGAGGCGCCATCGTAACTTTGCCCAACTAGGAATTCAAGGGGTAAATTCATCGAGCCAAGTTTGGACATTATATTATGCTTAATATCGAGACCTGTGTTATTTCCCGTACAATATATGTCAATCAGTCTTTCAACAGGCTTCGGCGTCTCACTATTTTCAACATATCTTAGTCAAAGCTATTGCTTCTGATTTCGAAACATCATATGTGCCATCAACTATGATTGAAAAGCACCTGTTAAATTCAATCTCATTATTTTTTTTATAACCATATTTTTCATGGTTTAATGAGAATATTTATGTTATTATATGTTAATAGATTTGCATATGATTTCGTTTTTAATCCCTTATTGTTTTTCTCCCAGTACAGGTTCAGAATCTGCAATGAGTTTAATAAGGCCCGTCATATTGCCTTCTTGAGCCTGTTCCCCAGAAGGCTTGGTTACGAGATATAAAATAACCTAGACATCTTATTAATATTCTTATGATAGAACGGTTATTATCCACACATTCTTTCGGGGGTATTATAAATTGTAATATGGAATTTTTGTTGTGTGAAAGCTTTCCATAATCGGCTATCATATGTGTCTGTGTTCATGCACAATAATATCACTAGTAAATTTCATGATCATTAAAAGAGTCAGATATTATATTTTTTTCTAACACATTTTATTATTTTTGGTTAATATTTTTAGGCATATTTTGAAATTGGAAAAATAATTTATGACAAGAAATCTCGGATAACAACCTAATTTACTAAACATCGCTCTAAAATTTCCGTCAATACATATTAAATTAATAAATAAGTGGGGGGGGGGGGGGGTCTTATTATTACATACATAAACCAGAAATCAATTGGTTATGGATGGATGTAGCAAAACAATAAAAAAAGTACCCCCACTCAAATTTACTGAAGAAGTTGCTTCGGACCCCCCCCCCCCGTTGTAGGGGCCACTGATCGGTACACCCCTAATAAATATAGTAACCGAAAGATAAGATAAAAATTTGACCCATATTAATGATGGATGGACAAATATAAGGGTGGATATGTATATTATAAATTTCATTATAGCAATCCCAAGTACCATTTTCTATAAATTAGTTGAAACAGGGACCAATATGCATACAGGAGAATATATATATCTAGTGAATTTATTAAAGTAACTAAAGAAATGGGAAACACAAAAATTAAACTCATAATAAAAGATAATGCTAGTAATGAAGAAAGCCTCGACACTTGTGAGAAATAAATATCCAATTATCAAATGCATTGGGTCTGCATCTCATGGATAAGGACCTAGCAAATAAAGGATATTACTAAGATACGCGCCCTCAGAAACTACGCGTTCCTACGCGCCCTCTATCAAACTTAATTTAAATTATATTAATATAGAATCGTATTTAGCTTTATAAGATGTTTAGAAAATGTTTTTTTTAATTTTAAAATAAAATGGTAATATAGTATAATTTTTGGCGCCCTGCACTATTTATAAAAAAATGAACGCAGAATCATATATAGCTCATTAAAAGGATTCAGAAAATGTTTATATTATATTTCAAATTATTTTATAAAGTGGGCTTTGAAAAAACACAATTTTTTGACTAAACTACACGCTCCTGTCCACCATCGGTAAATAAAAGCATAACCATATTGACATTAAAAGGATTTAAAAAATATTAATATTAAGTTTATAAATTTTTTATAACTTAGTGGGTTTTTGAAAAAACACATTTTTTCTTTTTTTGACTAAAATACGCGCTACTACGCGCCCTCGGTAAATATACATTACTTTTAAAAAATGAATGCAGAATCATGTTTAGCTTTTCAAGGAGATTCAGGAAATGGTAATATTTCTTTTTTTTAAAAAAAATTTAATTATCGAAAGATTTTTTTGACTACGCTCCTACGCGCCCTCGATAAATATACTAAAAATGAATATAGAATCATGTTTAGTTTTTCAAAGAAATTCAGACAATGGTTGTATTTATTTATTTATTTTTTTAATTTTTAATTATCGAAAAATATTTTTTGACCAAAATACGCGCCCTCCGTAAATATACATTATTTTTAAAAAATGAATGGAGAATAATGTTTAGCTTTTCAAAGAGATTCAGAAAATGGTTTGATTCTTTTTAAAAAAATGTAATTACCGAAAAAAAACGCGCTCTCGGTAAATATACATTGTTTTTAAAAAATGAATGCAGAATCATGTTTAACTAATCAAGGAGATTCAGAAAATGATGTATTAATTTTTTTTTAAATAATGTATATTTATCGAGGGCGCAT